CTATCTTAGAGACTATCCCAAACTGTTAGGCAAACAGCAACAATTAAAAACATTTACCAAGGATTTGTTGGGAATTTATAGTTCCATGTTTTTTTCCTACTCTTGAGGGTGAAGGGAGGCATATTATGAGATATACCACAGTCAGAAATTGGAGCTGGGAAGATCAGCTTTGCCAGCGTGTTGAGCCATCCCTGGGACCACATGGGTTTAGAACCATTCTTGCATGCATTACTACCTCTGATAGTCTGAATCTCCTCCTCTGCTCTGCCTTTTGGTGGCTAGCCTTGCATTTGTTTTTAAAATATGATTCAACTCCTCCCCTCTTGGAGCTTTCCTGATTCTCATGGAGAAAAGAATTAATTGCAAAGCAATTCAGTGTTACATTTACTGGGCACTTTAACGTGAATAAATAAACAAACAAATACCAGCATCTCTGAAAAATAAATTAATGCAAAATTTGAAAATAAATATCATTTGTGTATGTTCAAAAATAAATATTAAACGGAGTTTCCCTAGCCTTCACACTCCAACTGCACCATTACCCACCCTGTCATCAGCCCCGTCAAGTAATCAAGCACATGGCAGGGCTTCAGAAAGTACATGGTAGAGGAATAGGAGGCTCGGAAGAGGCACAGATAGGCTACATTTCTTAAATTAACTTGATGAAACTATTCCAGTGACTCACACAGAGTAACAGGGAGCACAATGAAAAAATGGCAGTTATGTAACATGACTTGTTGAAGAGCAGATACAAAAGCCACAATGAGGTGCTTGGGTTGAATGTTCTTCTTACAGAGGCAGGTCAGTGCTGTTATGTCGTGTTTTCCTGGAAGTCCCATCGTCCTTAGGCAGTGCTCTCTGCAAGCTGGACATGGCTGCTGTCTTTTTATGGTCAATGACCGCATAGGAATTGGTCCTGTGGGCAGGATGGGCAACCGCACATGGGACATGGGGGACTGGTATGCTTTGGCGCCCTTTACAAGGATCATCTTGCAGTTCTACCTGGATATAATTGAGTTGCCTTGGCTGCTCCAAATAGGGCCGGCAGAAGTCGAAATTGAAAACACTCGGGGTACAACTGCGGCGCTGTTGCAAGCAACCTCCCCTGCGCATGCCTCCATGTAGGGCAACCCTTTCTGAATTCATGTAACTTCGTAAAGGGTCGTCTTCTTCAATTTCTGGATAACCAGCAGAGGAAGGTGTCATTGCATCACTGGAGTCCTCATCATCCTGGCCCCGTCTTAGGGGCTGACACTCCCACACAGGAGGCAATGATGGTAGGTTCTCATAGTGCAGTAGGGCGGTCCGGCGATGGGAGCAACTGGCAGGATTCAGGTCCTCATGAGGAATTTTCAAGCGCCCGCTACCCTGACGAAGTAAGGTTCCTCGTGAAGGCAGAAGACCATTGAGGTTTTCATAAACACACTTGGGGGCGAGGCACTCTTCTTTGTAATCGTTGTTGTTGTTGTTATGAGGGGTGCAGAAATGTCTTGAGCACTCCCAGTGGGGTCGACAGTAGCCTTCACATTTCATCCTGTGCCTATAACCCAGGTTCGGGCCCAAAACAAACTTCACTTCTCCTGGCTGAAGGTAAACATGGGGATTCCGGTCCTCCAGGGAACAGCTATGGTTGGACTGAGCAATCGGAGGATGAACTTCAGGTAAGGAGTGCATACAATGATGGCCCCTTATTTCACCTTCACCACTGGCTGTGTTTACGTAGGTGTGGGACTGCAAAAAAAAAAAAAAATATTAGCAGGTGCTGAGAATAAATATTGTCTAGAAATCCTGCATTATTTATTATGAATCATAGGATTAATAAGAATCTGTACAGCATTTAAAAATGCATAAATCTTTAACAGCAACAATATTAAAAAGAACTATAGTCCCATCTTAACCTTGGATTCTGTTATTAATAATTCTAAACATGTTCCCTGACTTGAAAATACTTTTTACAAAACCTTATTATCAGATAACACCTGTGCTATCACACGATATTATTTTACATAATCAAATCTTGTACAATCAGTCCCTGACCCAAAATCATTTGTTTGAGTGACCATTCAAAGTTACAATGGCACTGAAGAAAGTGACTTATGACAGTTTTTCACACAACCTGTGGTCACATGATCAAAATTCAGATGCTTGGCAACTGGCATGTATTTATGATGGCTTCCCTGGGTCATGTGATCACTTTCGCGACCTTCTGACAAGCAAAGTCAATCCAGGTTCACTTAACAGCTGTGTTCCTAATTTAACAACTGCAGTGATTCACTTAAAAACCGTGCTAAAGGTTGTAAAATGAGGCAAAATTCACTTAATAACTGTCTCACTTAGCAGTGGAAGTTTGGGACTCAATTGTGGTCTTAAGACAAGGACTACCTGTATGCAGGGGGAAAAAAGACAACACCACCACAATTCTTGTTTAATCAAGAAAAAAATGTACACGGTTATGAAAAACCCATCCTAGCCTTATTTTTATTTGAGGGTAGATGTAGGTAAAATGATCAATACCC